GGAGCCCAGGTACCGGTGACAGCCGGCCCGGTGCGCTGCTCTGCGGCGCTGTCACCCGGTGTGCCCTCCCTGTGGCAGGGCGGAGAGCCAGCCGGCGGCGGGGCCTTGCCTGCCCGCCTCCGCCTCCGGTGCGCTCCCGGTCGGTGGCTCAAAAACCAGGCCCCCGCCTTCTCCCCTTTTCTTTCCCGTGCCCCAGCGAGCAGCTCTTCGTGGAGATGGCCGACGTGATGGCGGCGGAGGGCTGGAGGGAGGCGGGTTACGAGTACGTCTGCATCGACGACTGCTGGATGGCCCCGCGGCGGGACCGGGAGGGCCGGCTCCAGGCCGACCCCAAACGCTTCCCCAGCGGGATCCGCAGGCTGGCCGACTACGTGAGTGCCACCCGCCGTCGCTGAGCGGGGGGACCCCCCCGCAACCGGGGAGGAGAGGGAAGGCGGGGGGAAAATGGCCACGTCGCTGATAAGCTGGGGCCCTGCCTGCCAGAGCGGGGTTCTCCTTCCCTCGCCGGCCCAGCTCCCCGTCACAGAATCCTCCAGGTTGGAAGGGACCTTCAAGATCATTTAGTCCAACTCTGACAAAAAAACCATCACTAAACCATGTCTCCCAGCACCATGTCAACCCGTCTTTTGAACACCTCCAGGGATGGTGCCTCAACCACCTCCCTGGGCAGCCCATTCCAATGCCCGACCACTCTCTCTGTGAAGAATTGTTTCCTAATGTCCAGTCTAAACCTCCCCTGGCGCAACTTGAAGCCATTACCCCTTGTCCTATCATCTGTAACTTGGGAGAAGAGACCGACCCCCACCTCTCTACACCCTCACAGAATCATCTAGGCTGGAAGAGACCCTCAGGATCATCATGTCCAACCACCTACCCTACTCTAAAGTCCTCCCCTACACCATATCCCCAACACCACATCTAAACGGTTCTTAAACACAGCCAGGGATGGTGACTCAACCCCCTCCCTGGGCAGCCCATTCCAATGCCCGACCACTCTCTCTGTGAAGAATTGTTTCCTAATGTCCAGTCTAAACCTCCCCTGGCGCAACTTGAAGCCATTACCCCTTGTCCTATCATCTGTAACTTGGGAGAAGAGACCGACCCCCGCCTCTCTACACCCTCCTTTCAGGGAGTTGTAGAGAGCAAGAAGGTCTCCCCTCAGCCTCCTCTCCTCCAGACTGAACACCCCCAGCTCCCTCAGCCTCTCATAAGACTTATTCTCCAGACCCCTCACCAGCTTCGTTGCCCTCCTGCCTCACGTCCTCACCCCGTCCCCGCTGCTCTTTCCGCAGGTGCACTCCAAAGGGCTGAAGCTGGGCATCTACAGCGACGTGGGGAACAAGACGTGCGCTGGCTTCCCTGGCAGCTACGACCACTACGAGCTGGACGCCCAGACGTTCGCCTCCTGGGGCGTGGACCTGCTCAAGTTTGACGGCTGCAACTCCGACTCGCTGGAGCTGCTGGCAGAAGGTAGGGGCAGGCCAGAGGGAATATTCTGCAGAGAGCAGCAACTCTAGGCCCAGGTGGGCTCCAGGGAGTTGCTTTTTTCCCCGAGTGTACTCATTTAAGGGATTTGCTTACAAAAGCAGGTACGAGACTCCGTTCCCAAGCCCAAGGTAGCGAGTGTTGCTGGTCCAAGTGTGGGTTTTTTTCACCTGCTCAGCCTCCTGGAGCTTTCTGCTGGTGCCCACAGCTTGAAAAAGCAGCTTTCTCACACCAGAGACCGCATTGTGCTGAGCAGGGAAACACGGGCTGCGTGCTCTGGGGGTTTCTCTGTGCAAGCTGCTGCCTCAGCTCTTAACACAGCAGAGGCTTTCCCCTTCTGCCCTGCCTTTTCTGGAGAGCTCAAAGCGTTTCACACACTCAACCTTTAATCCCTTTGGTGAGACCACGTCAAGGCGCATCAGCTTGAAGCCAGAACAGCTTGTGTCAGCCGTAAAAAGGGCAGTTATCGGGGCTTTTAGCAGGGGAAAAAAAAAAAATGAAGGGAATTCTGGCATGAAAATGCTACTGGGGTTTTCAGTTTAAAGCACCCCAGTGTAAATCCCAGTGCAGAAGTTACTGGCACACAGGCTGGCAAGTCAGCAGCTGAAAGCTTCAGTAGCTCACTGTGCCGAGCAGGACTTGGCTGCGGAGTTTCTGCAAGCACAAGCAAATCCCAGTGCTGCCGGAGCGGATTTTGGGGAAGAAGGATGCAATTCAGAAGGCGGTTTTCTTCTTGACTGGACTCCGGCTGCCAGCACGGTCGGCAGGAATCCTGCAGGCGGGCCTGGCTCAGGCTGGCAGGGAGAACATGCCCAAGTGACAGTCTCATGGAAGGCAGTTGGTGGGGCATATGCCAGCCGCCGCAGCCAGGAGCACAGCTCAGCACCGCTGAGTGACAGCTGAGCTGAAAGCTCTCCTTGGATCATATGTGTAACCCAGATAGATAGAATCTGGTCATGTTGAAGCAGTTCCAGGGGAGAAAGCAAGCATTTCTTTCTCTCTGCTGATTAAAAGGGACTTAAAAGGGCTGTCTGGGGACAAGGACAGGAAAAAGCTAGTGCTTTTGAATTCCTGCCCAGCCCATATGGCGCAAATGCCTCATAAGAACATACTCCTGCAATGTTAGCCAGCGAAGCTGTACCCAGCAGCTTGGTAGAAACCAATTTGTATCTCTCAGGGATCTGGAGGGAAAAATACCACACAGCAAAACCGCAGCCTCTGCCCACGCTGTCTGTACAAAGAGATCAGCAGTCTGGGAGCAATAAGCCTGCCCATGACCTGTAGCAAAGCTGTGAGGAAGCTCTCCCGTCCTTGGGAGGCAGGAGACTGGCTACAAACTATAAGCTCCCCTGTCCCTGTGGTGCTTCAGCCTTGATTTTGCGAAAGTTGAACTGAAACTTGAACCTGTAACATTGGATTAGTTCCTCTGACCAAGGAGACCTGTGTAACCTCTGCCTGCCCTCTTCCTTTAGGTTACAGGCGCATGTCTCTGGCCCTGAACAGGACTGGAAGGAGCATTGTGTACTCCTGTGAATGGCCTTTCTACTTGAGGCCTGCGCAGCAGGTAAGGAGTGTTTCTCAAGGCTTATCCTGGGGCTGAAAGTGGGAAGAACAGAAAAACATGAAGTGCAAAACAGCCTCCCGAGAAACTTGCTGCTCTGTGGTCTGACAGGGAACGAGACTGTAAGGTGGAGGAAAACCACTTTAGAGTCCTCAGGTACACCTGAGGCAATTACTCTGCCGAAAGGAATTCCGTAGGTTCCTGCAGCAGGAAGGCACAGCCCAGGTGGAGCGTGCCAAAGAACACAGCACTATCCGTCTGCTTTCTGTCTCCGAGGAACCAAGCAACAAAATACTGGCAATGCAAACACACAGCTAGCGGATAGCTTGGCATTATTCCTCCCGGAGGCAAAGTGCTGCAGATTCAGCCTTACAGTCACCTCTAGAGACCAGGAGAGAGATTTTTTTAGGACAGTTTATTTCCTAGGAATTCTCTACATTGTTTACCGACAGCTTTCTGCCAGCCAGGGTCCATGGGTGACACGTTGCTCTCCACCCCATAGCTGTGCCACCACGACAGGATGCTGCCATTCCCTCCCACTGGGAGTTAAATGCATTAGTCACCAAAGGGTGTAAACCCAAGAAATGGCAGTAATTACTGGGATGTCACAGTTTGATCCCACTGGCCCTGTTGCACCTTCAGTAAAATAGCACTTAAATGAATTTTCTAACAGAGCTAGATGGCCACAACCGTTCTCCCAAGGGAATAGTGGTGTCTGGAGTGTGGCAGACTGGAGTTACTGGGCACAAGGCATCCTAGGGAACCAAAATGTCCTTGGTCATCCAGATCACCAGTGATGGAAGGCGTTACCGTAGTTCTCCCCAAATTATCCCTGATCTGGTTTAGCCTTGTGTACGGTCTCGTTCCTGTACAGTCAGGCTTTCTGGCTAATCACGCTCATTATTTTGGCAGCCCAATTACACAGAGATCAAACAGTACTGCAATCACTGGCGGAACTTTTTTGATGTCTACGATTCCTGGAGAAGCATCAAGAGTATCTTGGACTGGACAGCGCTTCACCAGGACAGCATTGTGAAGATAGCTGGGCCAGGGGGCTGGAACGACCCTGACATGGCAAGTAGAGCAACACCCACCTCCCCTGCAGCACCAGCAAAAAAAACCCCTTTCCTTGGCTGTAGGGTGAGAAGGGGAGGGAGAAAATCAGGAGAAGGGCTCTGATGGGGCTCTAGGATTCGGAATCTGATGAGGGGAAGAGAACTATGGCTATGGAAGGTACCAAGGAAGCCTTGTCTCTGTGTAAAGCAGCCTCTAACAAGCAGTGCCAGTTCAGAACCCAGGTGTGGTGGTGGGAGACAGTCTCCAAAATACTCATCTCCCACCAGAGGGAAACCCCCTGGGTGCCAGGCTGTGCTCTAGCATTGTGAGGAAGGCACAGCTGCATCCAAAAGCAGATTTTAGCCAGTTAAGGATCCTTCTTTACCTCTACCAGTGGTTCATCTTAAATTGCCACACTAATCATGCCTTGATTTTCCCAACTATCTGGTCCTGCTCCCGGTGCTCAGCCTATCTAACCAGTCCCCAGATAGGGGTCCCACCCTCAGCATCCTGTCATTTACCAGTGCTCAGGTTGGTGGCCCAGTTTCTCCTTGGCAGGCAGCATTACCAGGCATTTTTGTTTTTTTTATATCACAGCTGGTGATTGGAAACTTTGGGCTGAGCTGGGACCAGTCGGTGACACAGATGGCAATGTGGGCTATTATGGCAGCTCCCCTCTTCATGTCCAACGACCTGCGGCACATTAGTCCTGAAGCCAAGTGGCTGCTCCAGAACAAAGAGGTGATCGCCATCAACCAGGATCCCCTGGGCAAGCAGGGCTACCAGATCACCAAGGTAATGGCAGGACCAGGCTGGGCATGTATATCACAGCTGGTGATTGGAAACTTTGGGCTGAGCTGGGACCAGTCGGTGACACAGATGGCAATGTGGGCTATTATGGCAGCTCCCCTCTTCATGTCCAACGACCTGCGGCACATTAGCTCTGAGGCCAAGTGGCTGCTCCAGAACAAAGAGGTGATCGCCATCAACCAGGATCCCCTGGGCAAGCAGGGCTACCAGATCACCAAGGTATGGCAGGACCGGGCTGGGGGTGCGGTGTGGGGCACAGGCAGCCAGCCTGCTTAGAAAAGGGGACACTGGGGACACATGGGTTTGGGAACAGGAGGCCAGAGAGCCTGCTTAAACAGACAGGCACAGAGACCATCCTAATATAAGCCCTGGGTTTATTTTCTCCTTGTCAGGACAAGAACTTCGAGCTGTGGGAGCGGCCCCTGTCTGGCCGAGCCTATGCCGTGGCGGTGCTGAACCACCAAGAGATTGGGGGACCCCAGAACTTCACCTTCTCCCTCACCTTCCTCGGCAACGGGCTGGCCTGCAACCCAGCGTGCTCCATCCGGCAGGTCCTGCCAGCCAGCAGGGACTGGGGGGTTTACAGCTGGGTCTCTTCCCTAAGCGTGGAGGTGAACCCTACAGGCACTGTGCTGCTGAAAGTAGCAGTTCTATAGGAGGCACAAAGACAATCTTTTCCTAAGCCTGAGACTCTGTCCAGACTTCTTGTTGTGAGAAGCCTGTCTCCTTCCTCCAAGCAGGGTGCCTTCACCCTCTCTTCTGCATTCACTACCTGTGTGCTTCTACATGGACTTTGAACCTTCAGCCTAATGTGACAAATAGCCACCACTCCATCACCAAGAGGTAACAGAGAAAGGGGTGCTGCTTCTCTTCTATTTACCCTTTCTCTGGCATCTCACCTAACTCCTTCTCCAAGGGGCCATAAGGGCACAGCCCACTACCAACCAAAGAAATGCAAAGGATACATGCACTAGCTTTCCTTGGGCCTTTCAGGGACAATAGGGAAATACACCCTGGCTGCCCTGCTCTTGCTTTGCCAATCCCAGGTGCACAGTCTGAGAACACAAAAAGCTGCTGCTAAAGAAACCAAATACTCCCTCAGAGCGTGGACATCTACTTCCACCTTCTGACAACTCAGGGATTGACCCAAATCACCACACTCCTTAGCAACTGCTTTCTTGACAGCTGCCTGCTTATTATAAATGTGATTAAGTATCATGCCTTAGGGCTTGGCTTTTGAGGGTTTCTCCTTACCCAAGGAGTCATCGTCTCACCATTGGCTGCCACTTCCCTTTAGATGACAAATCCCTCTCCATCCTTCATGGGGACACTGGGGTCCCCTTCCTCAGTGAGCTGCCTTCCAGAAATACCCATATGCTTGCCCTCCACTGCTGGCAGTAGCCTTGAGGTTGAGTAACACAGGTCCTTCTGAGACCAGGGATAGATACTTGAATCACTATAATGTACAAATACGTTCTCTCCTGACTACTACACAACCAGGATATCTTGATTCGTTCTTATTTCTGTGATTAAACACTTTGATTAAAATGTCCCTTAAAAAGGCTAAGCTTTTTCTTAGTTCCACTGTACAGGAGTACAGCATGGTATCTGAAATTAAACTGGGTTTTAGAAAACGGGCCAGCTTGTTCAAGTCACTAAGTTCTTGTGAAATTTGTCACGATTACTACAAAGAGCACTCAGTGAAGCTGACACAATGCAGCTGTACAGTCCTCTCACAGGCAAAGGCTAAAGCCACTGCTGCCAACAGCTTAAACAGCAGGAGTTTGAAAACACCAATCACATCAGCCAGATCTGAATAAGCAAAAATACAAATTCTGTTAGTTTGGTAACTTGAGTCCTCTCGGTCCCTATAAAGATGTGGAGAGGTATTTCTCCATCCTCCAGCTCTATTTCCAGCATCTGCTGACAGTGATTTCCTACCGACGGGCAGCATCCTGCTGCCTCCCGTGGCTGATCCCTTCACAGCCCAGGGTAGGCTGCCCTAGAATGTACCATGCTCTCCTGGGTACAAGCTGCAGAAGTTTAGAGGAGGCCCTTTTGAGGACAGCCTTCTACCATGGTAGCTCGTAAATAAGCCATGGAGAAAAGCAGCAGCACAACGCTCAGGCGGAGAAGCCACCGGAGCAAAAATCCATCACAGCCTCAGGCCCTATGTCTATTGTAAAACACCTCTTGGTAACACAGGAACGACCTCCCACCCATCAGAAGGGTTTTTTTTTCAAAAGCCTTCAGATGACAAACTGTTCAGTTGCAAGCAACACCCTTCTGGTGCTGGGACTTGCAACTCCCACCCCACCAAGAAGAGAAGATACACAGAAACAAGCAACAGGTCACCTCCAAATACTTTAATATGGCCCATAACAACCAGTAGGATGGAGCTTAGAACTGGATCACCTGACCCTGTAAAAAGGAAGAGACAGAGCGAGTTTATTCACCACCCAACACTGCCACCCTTTCTCAGCCCCCCAGGGTACGCAGACCTACCTTTCTCTTCTTGTCTCCTCCCAGTTCAAAGTGCTTGCACCTCTTAATCGCCAGCATCCTCTTGGACCTGCAGTTGGGCTCCATGCACTCCAGCCTCAGCACGATCTTCTTTGTGGTCTTGGCCTGGGAGGAGAGAAGGAGAGCAAATCAATGAACAAAACATCCACAAGCAGACAAATTGCTGCTCTCAGGAAAAGCTCAGTATCTGTCCTCCTGACGAATCAGCAGCTTGTTCTCAGAGCACAAAGAAAAGAACTACCAGCAGGGTTTGGCTCCTTCAAAAACAAGGCAGCACCTTAAGGACTGGTACAGGAGTATGGTGGGTCTGTTCCTTCACAATAAAGGACAGGCAAAAGGATTCAGTGGGGCAGGGCTGGTGTCCCCTGCTGAGATAGCTCTGCTGAAGGGAATTCCATGCCAGTGAACACAACCAAGGAACAGGCACTTCTGCAGTGGGGGAGAACAGACTGACACTGCTCAGAAGCTCAGCAGAGAACTAGGCAGGAGAAATACCTGAAAGCAGCACGACTGAGAGACCTTCCCTGGAAGAATCAGTGACACAACATGCTCAACGCAGACCTGCAGCTCCTGAGAAGCTAAGATGACATCCCAAAAGACTAGAGAAGGAAGAATCCAAAGCTGTGAGGCTACTGGAGCAGCTGGACAGAGCTGCAACCACCAGTCAGAAGCCTCAGCTGATCATCCATATAGTGCTGACTTGGAAAAAACAGAAATGGGGGTGGCAATGTACAGGTGGAGAGTGCCAAACTGCCAGAGCAGTACGGCTGCTTCGTGTACCCTGCTTGCAGAAGCATTTTCTGCAAGGTCTCCCCACGTCCTGGCAGAAAATCAACTTGAAAATCTGCTGTCTCATTTTAATTTTTTTTTCCTTCTTTCTGGAAGACTTCCTGAACATCTCCAGAACAGCAGAGCTTTTCAGCAAGAAGCCAAATAGCTCTATAAGCAGTTCACACACACAAAAAAAATATAACAAATCAGCCCATCTGGTTTTGCTTCCCTGCTGTAAATGCCACAGTTTTTGCCCCCTCAACTCCTTGGCAGGAGGTAGGTACATAGAGACAGAGAGGGAAACCATCCTGCAAGATTACAGTCCCAGGTAGGACAGTGAAGAGGAAGGGTGACAGCAGCATGTTTCTGCAACTCATCTGTACCAGGATGTGCTGCTGCCCTTCCACTGCTGCTTCCAGACTCGCAGCAAAGGTCTAGCAGAGCAGTCACTGGCTCAGGGATATGGATTTCCCTGGAGACAACGGACAGCAAGAGACCAATGTCACATTCTGTGGTGTCCCCAGGAGTCACACATACCCTTGTCAGTGAAGGAGCCTCACAAACCCAGCAACAAGTTTCAGCCATAAAATACTGACAATTCAAAGCAAGCAGCAGGCTCCTCTTCCCTTCATCATATTCCTCTCCTTGGGCAAACAACGAGCAAAACACTCTTTTAAAGCATCACTTCTAGTGAGACCCTGCTCCCCTACAGCATCAAGGCTCCCCACAGAACCTGCTCTGCAAAACACACACTACATCACTCCACAAAAGGAGACAGGAGCAGCAGTGAAGATGAGCAGATGTGGATCTCACACTGCCTGGAGAGCAGTGCCAGCGCAGAGCGGCCATTAACACACCTCGAGCACAGGACCACAAGGCTGCAGGAGGTTGAAGTGTCCCTCCCCAGCCAGGCATGGGCATTGCCAAGGTGGTTTCAGGTCCTGCTTGCAGGAGCAGCACTCACCTTCTTACGGAAGATGGGCTTTGTCTGGCCCCCGTAGCCACTCTGCTTCCTGTCGTAGCGTCTTTTTCCTACAGGAGGAGGAAAGGGCTCTGTTTAGGCAACAACTCCGGACGTGTTACAAGCACAAATGGCGCTCTTATTGAGGCCTAGCAGGCATCATCCCCTCTCCTCCTCCTCCCACGGCCCCACACTTGGCCCACAACCACCACCCGCGACCCCGTCCCTACCCTGGGCGTAGAGGGACTCCTTCCCCTTCTTGTACTGGGTGACTTTGTGCGGCTGGTGCTTGCCGCACTTCTTGCAGTAGGTCCGACGGGTTTTCGGGACGTTCACCTGGAGGGGCAGGGAAAAGTCGGGTCACCAGGGCCACGCCACACCGCGACGCGGAGGCCTCCTCGCCCCGGGGGCCTCCTCGTCCCGGCGCCACCGAGCACAACCCGGCCGCTCCCCCCTTCCCCCTCGGGAAGGCCCTGCCCCACCATCCAGGCCCTACGGGCCTCTCCCTGCCGCCCCACCCCGGCCCAGCCGCCGGGCAAGCCCCCACCGCGGCGACCGGAGCTTCGGGAGGGAGAAGCGAACCGCCGCCGGGCCGGATGGCGAGAGATGGAACCGGGCCTTCATCCCGCCGCCGCCAGCGCTCACCATCTTGTCGGCCGCGTCCCCGAGAGAAGGAGCGCCCCGGAAGCGGATGCAAGAGGGGGGGAGGCGGGAGAAGAGCCATAGAGAGGAGGAGCGCAGCGCCCCCTGGCGGTGGGAGGAGTGAGGGACGCGGGGTGCGGATTCGGGGTGTTGGGGGGGGCAGGAGGGATGGGGGGTAGGAGAGATGGAGGGTTACGAGGGATCGCTATGGGAGTGTCAGGGGGTGCTTAGGGAAGGGGGTCCGTGGGGTGGGGGAGGTGGGGAGGTGGGGCAGGAGGGCAGCAGGAACATGGCGCTGCCCCCCACTCGCCCCCCAGCCCCGGCCCTGCGCCCCAGTCCCACATCCCGACCCCGCACCCCTGGCACTACCTCCAGACCCCCCGTCCCCTCTGTGTGGGGGGCGGCCGGACCCCTGGTAGCCCTATGGAGGTAGCTCGGCCTGTCTCCAGGAGGAAACGCCAGCTGCTGCTTTTGAGTCAGAAACACCAAAAAAAAAGGGGAACCGAAAGGGTGGGGGTGGCCGGCCCCGTCCTTCCTCCCTGCGTGGCGGACCCCGCCGGTGCCTGCCACCTCCCCACCGCCACAGCCACCCCCACCCGCCGGCCTGGGCCACGGGGCAGCGGGCACAGGGGGACCCCGGCCGGCCGGAGCGGCAGCGGGAGGGCTCGGTGAGTGCGGTGGGCCGCGGGGGTCCCGGGGGAGACACGTCGCGGCACAGCGTGGCATGGGGAGCACGAGGGAGGTGGCGGCACCATGAACGTCACCAGGGGAGAGCCGCCATGGCGGCGCCTGCTCGTGGCCTCACACCTCTGCTGACCTTCTCGGCCCTGCCGGGGGCATGGCGCTTGCCCGGGGGGTGGGAGAACCCAACTTGGGGGGCTAAGCCTTGTCCCACAGCCTGGCCGGCTACTGGGACAGCTGCCATGGGGCCACAGTGCCGTGGGGCAGCAGAGCAGGGTGGCGGGGGAGGCGTGGGGGCACTGCACCAAGGGGGTCAGGGTGGTACATGGGTGCCAGGGACCCCCGGGGTGCTGCAGAGCAGGGGGTCGGGGCACCGATGGCGCCTTTGACTGTTTCTGGCTGGGGTTTTTTGCAGCGGGTGCTGCTGGGGAGCAGCTCTGGGTTTGTTCCCGGATCTCTCCCTTCCCACCCTTCCTTTTTGGCACCTCCAGGCTGCACCTGAAACACAGGGGCTGTGGAGTTTGTCACCCCCAGACCCCTTGTCGTCCTTCCCGCTTGCCCCGAGCGTGCCAGCCCCCTGTCAGCCAGCGGTGACAGGAGCCTGCAGGGGGAGGGTGGCCCCAGGACCACGGTGGGGGACAGTGTCTGGTGTGCCAGGCCCCGTGGTGGTGTCAGAGCATGCTTGGCCGAGGTGTGACAGTGACAGGAAGCCACACTAGCTGGGGGGGACGACACACAGGACATGCAGCATCCACCCACCTACTCGTGTCTCGGCACAGAAGCAATGGCTGGCTGCGGGGGTGAGTCCCACGGGGCACCCACCACCCCAAAGGACAGGCAGGGACAGAGCGGGGACGGTGGCAGTGCCAGGAAGAGGGAGGCTGTGCCATGCTGGGGACAAGGGGACAGCGCTGGGGACAGGGTGGCCGTGCCACGCTGGGGCAGAAAAGCCCTCTGAGATACTCATCGTTCTTCATTCTTTCCTCTCTGGTGGCACTGTCCCAGAGGACACAGCGAGGACGTGTCCCATCTGCCCGACGCTGCTGGCGGTGACACAGCTGCTGAGACTCAAGGTAAAGCTTCTGGGGACCCAGCACTGCAGTCGGGGGGGGCTGGAGCTCCCGGGGCCGCTCTGCTCAAACCCCCCTGTGTGTCGAGGGTGCAATGGAAGCCCTCCTGCTCTTGGACACAGGAGCAGCAGCCACATTTTATGGCTAGGGAAACTGAGGCACTGGGCCACAGGGGGATGTCGGGGTCACTCTGGGCTTTCCCACCACCCCACCAGCAGTCTGGGGTCAGTAACCACCCCAGTCACCTGCCTGTCCCCAGCAGGAACCCCAGCTCCCTCCTCCCCAGGTCTGGAGCAGCCTATGAAAACTGCTGTTTTTTCTAAAACACTCTGATGACTCATTTTTGAAGGGTTTGTTGTTTGGTTGTTGTTTTTTTAACCACACAAACACGCCATAAAGGCTTGAGCCATGAGGGAAAGAGAGATCCTGGGAGGGGCTGGGCATTGCCAGCGAAGGGAGGACACCCCTGCTCCTGCCGCTGGGTTGGGGCATGACCTGGAGAGAGGCACAGCCAGTGGGAGGACTAGCTCCTGGCACCTCTGGTCCCCACCTGGTCCCTGTCCTGAGTGCGCCAATGCCTGCCTCCTGCATGGGGGGAGTGGATGGGCTGCCCGGCCGGGTAGTGGGGGCTCAACCCCTGAATCTGGCCCAGTTCTGAGCCTCCCCGGGAGGAGACAGACTGCAGGCAGCAGGGGAGGGACACAGCTTCTCCCAGGTGGCCCTCCAAAGCTGTATTTGCAGGAGAAAAAAGGCAACAATGTGGAGCTGGAGCAGGGCACATAGGTGGTCAGGGAGGGAGAAGTGGAGGAGGGCTCCAAGGGATCACAGTTGAGCAGTGGCTCCACAAAGCTCATCAGCTCCCTGTTGGGTCCAGGCTGGAGTCAGGTGTTGGTTACAGCCCTCAGAGGAGAAGCCCACATCTCTGACCACACAGTTCTGTGCAGTGCTGGAACCGTCTGGGGTGCAACATGGAGGGACACCTGGGGTGCAACATGGAGGGACACCTGGGGTGCAACACGGAGGGGGACAGGGCAAGAAGGACACACTGCTCCAAGAGGTGGACCAGGGTGGATTTTCAGCCCCTGTGGAGGCAGGGCAGCAGTGGGATGCAGGGCTCTCATCTGAGTGCTTTCCTGCTAGTCCCTGGAGAAGCTCAGGAGGGCTTCCCTGAGGAGGGCTGGGGGAATTTAACCCCTCTGCTTGCTGGCTGGAGGCAGCCCTTTGAGCCTGGCCGCGGCGAGCACTGCTCACAGGGGGAGGAAAGAGGGTTGAGCACCTTCCCTGCGCTCCTGCAGGCTCCATGGACGCAGAGGGGAAGGATGACTTTAGGGCCGCTCTGTGCTCTTGGCAGCACAGCACCGTGGCTGTTTGGGGGCCAGGACCTACCCACAACTTTTTTGGGACTGGCTTCCCACGGCCGTCCCTTACACCCTGCCATGTCAGCACGTCCCCAGCATGAAGCGCCTGCGGTGTGGCAGGAGGAAACGGCCCACATAAACACACACACATCGTGTTGGAGGGGAGGAGGGAGCCTGCTGGGTGTCACCGCTCAGGCTCTGCGCTCCTCCCCGGGGCTACGCTTCTCGCAGCCGAAAATCGGCTGGGTCAGGGCTTGGTCCTCAGCCTGGCATTGGAGAGGGGACAGGAGAAGGAGAGGTCACAACTTAAATACTCTACATGGACCTGCCTGCACACCTCCTCAGCTGATTGACCCTGTGGGGGTCCCACCACCCCCTGGCTGCTCCTCAGTGTGTACCTGAGCAAGGTCCAGCTGTCAGCAGGTTTTTGGCTCAGCCAGCTCCCTGTCGCTGTTGTCCTGCCCACAGCAATCCAGCGAGCACGGCGCGGAGGAGGCCGGGGAGGCCGACATGGCCAGCGTCATCCTGGAGAGCATCTTCTTGAAGCGCTCGCAGCAGAAGAAGAAAACGTCTCCCCTCAACTTCAAGAAGCGCCTGTTCCTGTTGACAGAGAGCAAGCTGTCCTACTACGAGTATGACTTTGAGCGGGGGGTGAGTCGGCAGCCCCAGGGCCACAGGGGCTGTGCCATGGCAGTGCCCCATGGGTCACCAGTTGTCCTCGAGTCTCCCCGGGTCTCCCCCTTGGCAATCGTTTGAACCAACCCTGTCTCTTGCAGCGCCGGGGCAGCAAGAAGGGCTCAGTGGACATTGAGAAGATCACCTGTGTGGAGACGGTGATGCCTGAAAACAATCCTCCTCCTGAGCGGCAGGTCCCGGTGAGGAAGGTCCCCGCTTGTGTTCCCCTGTCCCCTCGCTGGGGGAGCAGTGAGAGTTACCCTGCCCTGGGGGGGGGGGGAATGGGGGACACCCCTGCTTGGCACGGGGGGGCTCTCCACCC